CTCTTGGTGGGCGGCCTTCTGCCTCGACCGGTTGGGGTGAGTGGATAGAGGAGAGACAAAATGTGTAATGGTGGCATATAGAAGCATAGGGAGAGAGAGGAGAGGAGAGGAGAGCAGGAGGGGAGGGGAGGGGAAAGAAACTCAGAGCATCATGGGGCCCCCCAGCAGCCTAGGCCTATAGCAGCATAACTAAGGGAAGGCTCAGGGTCACCTGATCCAGCCCTAACTATAAGCTTTATCAAAAAGGAACGTCTTAAGTCTAATCTTAAAGGTAGAGAGGGTGTCCGCCTCCTGAACTGAGACTGGGAGTTGGTTCCATAGGAGAGGAGCATTGTTTCAAGCCAGTTGTGAGACAGGAGGCAAATGAGCAAATACTGCCCCTTAAATTAACTGTTAACTTTTACTGTTGGGTAATTTTACACATCACCGAGCTTCTAGCATGACTGATTTCACCAATATATTTTGTTGTGCAGCTCTCTGGTATAACCAAGGCACATGAATTATATACAGAACTATGAAACAATGCGTTGCACACAAGACACAAAGCTACAGTAGCTGTAGAGCTTTCAAACATCATGTGCATTTGTGGCTTCAGATGCTTTTAATCTGAAGAAGAATAGTTAATGGGTACATTTTCTAGATCATTTGTGGTCACTATGGGCAGCAGAGATGACCACAGCAATTTAGCAGCCCTAGGAATATTTCCAGTAATTTAATGTTGCCATTTAATCTCACAGTTAGGATCCTGTCTCCCTTAAAGGACACATGCAGGCACACATTCTTACCTTTACACACAACTTGAGGCTTTAGACATGAAATGTGCGAACATAAAACTGCTCCCACAAACACACACACACACACACACTCATTCTCTCTCACACACACACACTCATTCTCAGGCACACACACACACTCATTCTCTCTCTCACTCAGGCACACACACACGCAGCAAAACAACAGAACCGATGCTGAGCTCAGGAAGCAATTGCCTTTTAGCTCATGAAAATAAATTGGCTCGTTCAGCGGTGGAAACTTTCACAGACTGAAGAGAAAAGCACTTTAGTGACAGAGCATGCTTCCCTCTTCCATCAAGTCACTGACATTTTGACTCAGGTTTGCTTGAGAAGCTAAAATTTCCTTTGATACTCGTGTACATTATACTGTGTTGCACATCATTCTTGAAAGCTGACCTGGCGAGAGCGCAGCAGATGCATTTGCTTTTCTTACAGGTGCTCTTAGGTGCATTGTTAGTGTTTCTCATTATGAACATTTCAACAGAAAAGGTATGACTAACAGTTTCTCAGGTTAGACGATGATTGCAGCAATTTGTCGATTAGATTTATTAGTCGATCAAAGTAAATTGCCAACAATTCTGATGATAAAATAATCAGTTTGAATTCTTCATTTAAAAAAATTCTCCACTGAGAATCTATTCATTTCATAGACTTCAGACCTTAAAGCTGAGATAAAAATAGTTCTCTGTATTTTTGTCTTTGTACTTAAGCTGTGCAGGCTGGATTTCAGTCTGGTTCTAAAATGAAACCAGAAAACTCAAAGATTAAATATACAAAACGCATCAGTTTACATTTATGTCACAGATAACTTGAAAATGCATGGTTTGGATAGGGATCCCTGAATCTGGAGTAGGATTGAACCTGTAATTACTAAATTTTCCTCCAGACAGACCCCCCCCCCAAATAGTGATAGTGTTTGTCCCTCAGGCAATTTCACAGTTGCCGCCTCTCTAGCCAGTTTATTTGTTTCACCATTTGTTGCTGCCTAGGTAAGCAGCATTGCAATTACTGCAGTTTGCAGAAATCACAAGGCTCAAACACAGTAAACAGAATTAAAGTTAGCAGCTGACACCTTACTTTACTTGGCAAATCCAGCTAGATGATGGCTCTCAAATGACTGATATTTTCTTGCAACCATTTAAAAAATAAAGGAAAACAGTGGAAGGCAGTACACTAACTCTTTTTATTGTAAATGTCACACAGCCATCCAGCAGTAGTTGAAATGGTGAACAATAAGGGAAACTGGGAGGTGAGAAATGCAGAAATTACTCAGTTTTAATAAGCCAAATCATGTACAGCAGTGTGAATACAATCCGTGCTTTGTGTCTCTTGGAGCATCTTATTTTCTAATCCTCCGTCCTCTGACTGACAAGCTGTTCAGTCTCCCCTGAGGAGACTTGTTATGCTCCGTCTCGCCATCAGGGCAGATGATATATTTGTCTCGTCCTTCCATTAGCAGGGTGTAGATAATGAGACATGGCAACAGAAAGTTCAACACAGTGGCACAAACATCAGCTTGAATCAGGAGGACTGTTAATCACCACAAAGCACATTTCAGCTGTCATTTCTGTGACTCTGCTAATTTGTATGGAGGAAAGGCTATAATTGACTTTTAAATACCTCTTAAGGTCTATTATCGGTAACTAGAGCAAACGGTGCCAGTAGATTTTCAGATCTATAAGCTGCAAACTATTTTAAATCATAAGCAATGCACTTTACTTTCAGAGAACACCAGAATCAATGCACTGTATATTTCACAGTAAACAGGCTGATAAATGACTCAACATGCTGAGTAATATGAAAATCTGATTAGGTGTATTTTAAACAAATGGCATGTTTGGCTTCACAGTTTACTCATTTGTTAGCGGTGAAAACACAAGGTCGAATAAATTCAAAGGTGTTAAGTCATCATGCTGCTTTCAGAGAATCAGTGTCGATGAAGTTGTACTGCAATATGTTGTTTTTGTAGCATTTATTTACATGACCTGAGGTGTCAGACTTGTCATATTTAAATGTTTTCAGTATTTTCAGCTGCTGTAAAAAATTCTATAGCTCAGTTTTGCTCCTTTTGCCTTGTGCATACTTTGCGTTTAATGTTTTACATCAAGCTCCTGGCAAACTTTCACATACACACTCTTGTCTAATAAATCTTTTAGCACTGTCCTTCTGCGGTGTACTCAGGTGTGGGCACTGAGAATTGAATCTGCTCCATTCACATGCCATTAAGTGGAGAAAGTGGGAAACAAATCCACCTGCCTATAGTTGTTGGTAACACAATATGCACTCCATCAAACAGGTCCAGTTGGGGCACAATTTACAAAGGTAGAGAACACATCTTGCTCAAATCAAGATTGATATCATATGGGTGTTTCCAATATAGTGGCTGCAAAGTGTTGAATTTCATGCATTAAACCTGGTTTGCATACAGTCTGCATCCTTGTGCAGCTGTTGTCCCCCAGCTTCTCTAGAAAAGATTGGATTTTAGACATTTGCACCTTTTTATTTTTTCTTATTATTTATTGCCATCCAGAAAATGTCAGGGTGCTACACAATGCTTGATGGATCTTCCTTATATTAAAAGCATCATATCACATTACCAGGGCTTTTATCCATGAGCCTAAATGAAAGTGACGGGTCACTTTGCGGGGAGTTCTCTGTAGTGGGCAGCATGGGCAGTATTTGTTCAATCTGTTTTCTCCCCTAAACCTGCACATTACCCATTACTAGCAGAAACAAAACAATTTAAATTAAAATTTTTAAAAATACACTACATGGATGCAGTGGTTAGCGCTGTTGCCTCACAGTTCTGGGTTCAAACCTGGACTGACCCTGGACCTTTCTCTGCTGAGCTTGTATGTTCTCCCTGTGCCTGTGTGGGTTCTCTTCGGGTACTCCGGATTCCTCCCACAGTCCAAAGACGTGCAGTTCAGGTTGATTGGTGACTCTGAATTGCCCGTAGGAGTGAATGTAGGTGTGTGTGGTTGTTTGTCTACATGTCAGCCCTGTGATAGACTGGTGACCTATCCAGGGTGTTTATGCGGAGCTAAGCTAACTGGCTGCTGGCTGTAGCTTTATGCGAAGTGTACAGACATGAGACTGGTATCAGTTGAATAATTGTTTCTTTTAATCACAGGTTATTTGCTGTAAACCTGACTGATTCCCAGCTTTAGCCAAACTCTAATTACCATGTGCAGATATAACACAAATCAAGAATTTAGGAATTTGACTAAAAAAACGGTCACTTAACGTAGTGCTTTGGAGGATTGTCCAATACTGACAATTAATATTGAATAAAAATGGTTTTAATACAGTACAAAAAAGGAGAGAAGCAATCAGTACTACCAAGCTTGAGAGTCAGCTAAGATGGTGTAGCTGCCAGTCTGGTTTTGGGTTCTTCATGCTAATCATGTTACATTTTTCACTTTTCTGCATTTAACAGCTCACTTTCTATTTTCTCTCTGCTGTCACTGAGTTGTTGGGAAGCCCTTTCCACCGTTTGTAAACTCGTCTTCCCACCAAGCTACGCTGGCACTCGATGTACAGCATGAGATGCCTGAAGAGTCCATCATTTCCAGGCATACTGGGCTAATGTAATGTAGGAAAGTATAACAAGTGGAAGAAGGACTCAGTAACTGCCACACTTTAAAAATGGACTTTTTCCCAAATCAGTTGTGCTCACAGTTTTTCTTACATGGAGTCTTTTACTGTAGGAGTTAAATGGACTGCTGCAGGCTCACATAGAGCAGCAGTATGTCAGCTCTGTTCTGTCACTGTTTTGGTGAATGTGGTCCATAAATGCCTTGTAAACTGTGTGGCAGCCTCATAAATAACCTTGATGTAAAATAAAGATATGCTTTAGCTTTATTTTGAGCTTTTTTTGTTTTCCTCTCCATCTAACATTATAGAGTAGACATAATGAAGATGGGATGGTATTACTCAACGAATTCTCTTCAATCACCTTTTCCTTTTTTTTTTAATTAAATTTCCTTTCTCATTTTCTCCAATTAGTGGGATAAGAAGACAAATGCTTCACAGAGAGGAACTGAGCAGTGTAAAGGCAGAATTACAGTATGTATTTATCTTTCCACAGCATTTCCATTCAGCTTGGATTTGTCCCAAAGAACTACTTCTGGGCTGACTACTTCTTCCCATTCAGCTGACTTCTCAGGACTTGCCTTACTCTCTTTGTGGTTGCTGCTTTCCTTGCGGCCTCTTCATGGTTCCCATTTGCTTGTGGGATCCCAAGGTACTTGTAGCTGCCCTCAATATCTGCTATGTTGCCTTCTGGTAGTACAATCCACTCAGTTCTGAATGAAATGTATATATAATTCTAAATGAATTACAATTTCTGTGCTTAACTATGACACATTTGAGTTAAGAAATACTTTTATATCCATCTGAAACACCCAGAAGCATTTACACATACTGGTGAAATGCCAAACTGAAAAGATGTGGCGATTCGGTAACTCTGTAGTTTATATGTATGTCTATATATAAAATAAAAAAATTATGTATAGACATTTTCAAGCCTATAAAAATGGCTACATTAGTAGAGGAATAACTAATCCACATGCATCTTTCAAGTCTAACCTTTAAAGAAAGCAGTCAGGATGACTGACACTGTGTGAGCTCATCTTTTCACCCCGATTTGTGAGAGAAGGTGAACTTTTGTGTCATGCACATAAATACCTATAGCAGTCTAATAGAAGTGCATCTATTCAGCACTAAAATGGAAGAATCTGCCCCTTTGGGGAGACATTCAACAGCTGCAACAGCACAGTAAATGGCTAAAATAAAGAGGAGGCAATTTCACGTACACCCACTGGAAAATGACATTTGGATCTTTGGCGGATGACCTTTTACAAAAAAAAAACATCAGCAGAACAATTACAAAGCAGTCTTTAGATCGTTAAACCTGAGATAATTAAATGCCTCATTTTGTTATTATAGCAAGAGGTGGACAATGAAAGACTGACAGTTGGAGAATCTCAGAGATGGAAAGGATTAGAAAAAAAATGGAGTGATATGAAGTTTAGCTTGTATTGTTACTTTCTAGGTCTGTGTTAGCGGCAGCTGAAATAATAGCCTCAGTGGAGCATTGACGTCTTGAACACACCAGGTCAAAGAAATAAAAAAAACTTTGAAAGAGAGCTCTGGGAGAAAGTCATTTAGAGTTAACTAAGGAACCTAGTCTTAGAAAATGAGAAGTCTGTGGGTTTTTTAAATTAGCATTCCTCACTTAGATACCTGAGGTTGAGTAAAACAATTATAATTATGTTGAAAACTAATGCAGCAGCAGCATAAATCCTTAAAGCTCTTTAAACACCTTTAGTTTGTTTATCTGCACTAAAATAGTAACTTTATTCCTCTGACTTTTTTTTTTAGGAGCATTTCTGCATTTATATGACAAGTAGGACTAGAGGAGATGAGAGAGATTTCTTAATGGGGACTCTAACCCAAGATGTGCATATGCAGACCTCATATCAGACAGTACTGAAGGTGGATTCAGTTGCAGTAGAATCACAGCTTGCTTCTGTTAGATTCACAAAGTTTTCAAGTCGGCTAGTTTTCGTATAGAGCTCATTTAAAAACAACACTGGAAAATGTCTGTAAAGCCTGTAGGAGCTAATAATAAAACTGTTGCAATTGAAAATCATTTAAAGAATAGAGACCCTGGTTGCTAATGTGTGTATAACAATGTAAATAAACAATTTTTAATTATAATTCCCAGTCTTCCCATAATAGAAATATAAAGAAATATAAAAACACTTCTTGTTGTTAAAGGTAAGAGTGTTCAGGCAAAAAAAAAAGACTCCTGCCAAGAATCACCCTTTTGAAAAGGCATAACTGTTATGATTTCCTTTAGTTAGTTTAGTATATCTGTGTAGTGTGTATGATGACAGATGTGCAGTGCCTAAGGTGATTTTGTGAGTTTTGTTTCTTAAATTCAAAACGGCAAAATGTTTAGAAGGAAGGAAACCACATTTAATGGTGAGAAATTGTGAGCTGGGAGACATTTAAGGTCCATACCAGCCAGAACAGTGTCTTTTCTTGGATATGGAAGAATAAAATGTGATATTTCACTCCCACATGGGCACCAAAGATGCCCAGCATGTGGCCACCAGCCTGTAACCCCAGCTACTCTTGAATAGGCAGCGGGTTTGAACACATTGTTTGGGAATGATGAGAAAACAAATCAGCTGCATTTCACTGAACTGGTTTGTTTTCCAGTTTTTGACAACAGAACAGAAATGAATAGAATAGACAGTTGCAATAAATATGGCAAGAGCTGACCTGTTCTTTATATTCTGCAAAGCTGTATGCATAAACCAGAACATCAGAAAGACATAATCACACGCAGAAGACAAACCAGCTGTCAAATATTAACTGGTATTACTGAGACAAGTCTTGTATTGCTTGGCGTGAAATGCATTCACAGTTCTCACATCTTTCCTGTTTCATAGAAGCCAAAGTGACATTGAACTTAAAGTATTAAAAATGAAATATGGATTTTTGAACTGTGAGTGTTTGTAGAGAGGAGCCTGGTTGTTTCAAAACTGTCAGAAGCAGCTCAACAAAGAGGAAGTCAGGGGCGTATTAAACATTAAAAGACATCGCATGTGACCTTCCAAATTTTTGTTGCTGCCTTGAAATGTATGCCTTTATCTAAACCTACTCTACACGAATATAAGAATAACTGAGGCAAACGCAACCTTTGCACCACAGAGAGAAAATGCACATCCCAGTGCTTTAGCTGAAAAATGGAATTCTATTTTGTCCTCTATCATTGTGCTGTCATTGTCACTGAAAGAAAGGAGAAATTGAAAAAAAATTCCTTTTTGACCTTTTGCAAATGACATCTGAGAGTAAATAAACGTCTGCACTAGTGCTTTGATGAATGCTACAATCTGAGATGTTGGGTAATTTTATTTTTACAGATCTCATGGGAAGAGCAGAAGTGGAGGTGTGCATGATGTACCATCACCCACTCAAACCACTGACCTTGGCCACGGTAAGATGACCTCACTCATCCCTCTGAAACACAGTGAGTGTGCAGTGATCTTGGCTTTTGTGCTCTTCAGCCATTTAATCATACACACCTTGACAGAAGTCATCCATGAGCAACACTAGCTCAAGGGATAGACTATACGCAGTCAAGTGTGTTTCTATAGGATAAAATGAGGACAAATAGTCTTGAGGGTGTTATTTAAAGTCGCTTGACACACACATTAACCACGGAGCAAGAGTATCATTTCTCAGGGGCTTTTTATCACTGAGCGCCAACAAACCAGAAACCCTGTTCATTCAGTCAGCAAGCTTATTTATATAGCATATTCTCATATGCAACAGCAATTCAAAGTGCTCAACACAATGCACATAGATGGATAAAAACCTTAAAATGCATATATAGATAAAACAGTAGAATGCAAATTAGAGAAAACATTAAAAATCAAAAGCAACAGTTGCATGACAGTAGTAGTAGTAGTAGTAGCAGCATCAACATGTATGAGTAGATACCTCATAGTTTTGGTATAGCTGTGGCAGACTCTGGATTCTTCCCGTTTCCTCTTATTTTTTTGTATTCCTTTACTTTCTTCTGGGAATTGGAAACACCAGTGTCTAAACAGTCCCAGAAACGTTTAGTATAGCTGTGACAAGCTGGATTCTCACTGTTCTCAATAAACTTGCACCCCTTTACTTCAGTCTTCCCAAGACTATCCTCTTGGTCCCCTTTACTTCAGTCTTTCCAAGACTATCCTCTTGGCAATTTACACCAGAGGCGAAAATGTTTTGTCTATACAGTCAGCTAAACAACACAAAGGAGTCAGTTGGTTATTGGGTAATAGATGAAAAGTAAAAAAAGATCAGTTTGTCCAGAATCTTTGTTTTCCTCATGTGTCTCTCCAAAGATGCAACACAGAAAAACCAACCAGTCCATTAATCTAGCCTGAACATTTTTCCTTTGCCTCCTACTGTGATGAGGCCTGTTTTCAGCTTTGTGTTTCATGTCGTTGTGTCAGTATGTTACTCTTCTTCCTTACTGAAGATTAAATGACTAATCAGGCAAATTTAGTTTTATTTATTAAGAACCAACAGGGTTTTTAATACACAGCAGCAAAAGTCTCACAGATGACGCTGGAAGGTTATTTTATGTTTCTATGTTGTAATGCTCTAATATTTTCAGTGATGAAACAGTGGGTGCACATTAATCTTAAGATAAACAGACTCCTTCTTGCATGTACACGTCACTCTTCTGATGGAGCTTTGCCTGTGCTCCGTGCTTTTCTTTATAGCGAGGAATAACTGGGTGGGTGTTTAATGCATTAATTTTCCCTGTAAAGTTACTTTTAATATATCAAAGATTAAAATCCAGAGGAATCATCAATAATTGGATGAAGCATTAGGCAAACAACACACTGAGATCAGGAGAAGGATTACTCAGTAAGACACAAAGGACACAATTAACGGTAGATGGAAGCAGCTGCTTTGAAGGAGAGCAGAAAACAGTGGGAATGTTTGAGTGGGACAAAAACAAGCCTGTAAATTTTCTCTTGCTGCTAATACTAACTTCCCTTAACCAGTACATACAGATTATATTACATCTACAGTGTTGACTATGGGATGTGAGCACTATGAGAAGCCATGAAATGACAGAAACACCAAATCCTGTCCTTTTCACACATAGTTGTGTGGTGTAATTATTTCTTAATGAACAACAGTTTTTCTGTCTGCCTGATTCTTCTGTACAGCATCTCCTCTGCCCACCTGCAACCTCACAGTGGGAACAAAACTCTGGGAAGCCACGGCACCCAGCTGCTGTGCAGCAAGAAACAATTACAGCTTGTAACTCCTCATAAAACTTTGTATCTGTTTGTAAACAAATTGGAAAAGTGAGATGCAAATTTAACGTGCTATAAACTTTAGTTGCTGGTAGGTGTGCTTTTGATCTTTGGATGGAGCCTGACTAGCTGTTTCCTGCTGCTATGTTTTTATGCTAAACTAAGCTGAGCTAATCAGCATTTGACTCCAGCTCCAAAGAGTCAGTCGGAGCTGGACTGACAACACTGACAATACCTCAATACCTGTGTAAATGTTGGCCAAAATGCTAAAAATATGGTGCGAAACAATGTCACCATTCTAAAATCAGAGCAGTGAAAAAACTATTTTTCACCTGTAAAATGTCCTGCACAATACACTTCTACATATTTAATTGTAAAAATAAAATTAGCTGATGTATTATTGTTTAAATATCCATCTCAATTATGGCTATAGTCAGTGAGTAGTATCATTTACTAATGCAAGTCATAACATTAAAGCAAACAAATGTTTTTTTTTAAATGCCAAACTGTCTTTAATTCCATATTTTGAAGATTTTCAGAAAAAATGGCAGTATAAATGCACATTAAACTATTAAAAGCTCTTGTGTGGCAGCTAATATTAACTGTGTTTTAACTGGGGTCAAAGATTTTTGCACTAAATTTTCTGCAGGCTGAGAAAATGATTTGTTCTCCAACTGAACACACTCAAATGATCTTAGTACTTTAAAACTTTGCCAGTTTGGAGTCATGAAAGTTTCACAAATAAGCTGTTGTGGTGTTTTCACAATATATTAGTTCCACATTTTCCTACTTTCTAAATTCCACTGACTGAATCTGACAGGCAGTAAAAACCTGCTGACATGTCGAGCCACTCTGTCTTCATAAGGTGCATGTCACCAGTGAAGTCTTTGCCACTGGCCTATTGATGGGCATGGTGAGGTGTTAATGTTGATGGCCTTTAGGGTGACACACTTTTATTTTTGCATTATTTTTCTGCACATACTCCCAAACTAATTTAAAAAGACAGATGGCTATGCTTATTAAGTAGCATCTAGAGAGACGATTAGAAGAGAAGTAAGAGCCACATGCAGGAGCTACAGTATAGTAGTGTGTCCTGCTTCTATTGGGAATCAATGACCACCTCAAAATGATTTTAACTTGTAACAAACTATTGATTCTTGACATCCAGCAGGCTTCACTGTCTTAAAATTATTTTACGAGACATTAAGGTGCACAGAGGGTGTGTCATAAATCCAAGCTTGGGACTCTCTGATGGAAGTGGGCTACTGGAACAAGACATTCATGGACAAGAGAGAATAGGGAGCTATTGGAATGCTATTATACAAGTAACCCCAGCAAGAGGGGTTACATACGGAGGATGGGGGACCTATGGACACTTCAAAACCCAACATCTACACTAACATCGAAACAACTAGTAGCTCAGCGCTCTAACATCCGCAAGAAGCACATGCTATCACAACTAGAGATTGACGGGGTACAACACGAATCCTCCAGCAAGGGGGAGCCAGGACAACAGGTCAGAAGGGGAGATATCATCATCATCGCCACCGCCACCACCGGAGATTGGGTACCAGGCCCAGATGACTGTGATGCAAGAGCAGCTGACCTGAGATTAAAGAGCATGAGCAAGATGGTCACCTGGAACTCCCGTAGTTGGTTACCAAGACTATGAATGCAGCACTAAGAACAATCCCTACTACAACCATCACTGAGACCAACAAGCTAATATACACCACAGCAACAATGATCCTTGAGATGCTTGGCTATAAGTTCAACAAAGGCCATAAGCAGCAGTATCCTCCATGGAGAAGGAGGTTGGAGACCAAGATCAAGGCAGCAAGGAGAGAAGTTAGCCAGCTATTGGAATTGCAGAAAGGCGTGATGAACAAAGGGGTACCTAAGAACTAAAACTCACTGTCCATACCTGAGGCCTTGGAAACTGCCAAGCAAAGGCTCACAGCCCTGGCCACCCAGCTGAAGAGGTACACCAGAGAATTTGAAGCCAGGAGAATAAACCGAATGTTCTCCACTGAGCCATCCAAGGTGTACTCTCAGTGGCAGGGGAATAACATGAGAGCAGACCCACCAAGGCTGGAGACTGAACAAGCATATGGGAGAAGGAGGCATCACACACCAACAATGCCCAGTGGCTGGTGGACCTAAGAGCAACCTCCCTGTACAAGACACAGTAGTCATTACAATGGCAGACATTCAAGAGAGGGTCTCAAGTATGAAGAGCTGGACAGCACCAGGCCCTGACATGATCCATGGCTACTGGTTAAAGAAGCTAACTTCACTCCATGAGCGCCTGGCAGGACAAATGAACCAGCTACTAATGGATGTAACCCACCCTGAGTGGTTAACTGAAGGCCGGACAGTCCTGATCCTGAAGGACCCTCAGGAGGGAGCAGTACCATTCAACTACCGCCCAATAACCTGCCTCTGCACAACATGGA